GCCACCGCCACCGCTGCCACCATGGGCAAGGAGAAGACGCACATCAACATCGTGGTCATCGGGCACGTGGACTCGGGCAAATCCACCACCACCGGGCACCTCATCTACAAATGCGGCGGCATCGACAAAAGGACCATAGAGAAATTTGAGAAGGAGGCTGCCGAGGTGAGGCGTCCGGCTGCCCGACTGTCCCCAAGCCTGCCCTGCCTTCCTCCTCCTCCTCCTGCAAGGAGAAGACGCACATCAACATCGTGGTCATCGGGCACGTGGACTCGGGCAAATCCACCACCACCGGGCACCTCATCTACAAATGCGGCGGCATCGACAAAAGGACCATAGAGAAATTTGAGAAGGAGGCTGCCGAGGTGAGGCGTCCGGCTGCCCGACTGTCCCCAAGCCTGCCCTGCCTTCCTCCTCCTCCTCCTCCCTGGTGGGCTTCGAGGTCCCTGTTCCCCAGCCACTGCCATCTCCTGCCAGCACAACCATCCCCTTGGGAATATCTTCCTTTTCCCCACTCTGCCCTTCTTGCCCATCCCTTCTTTTGCTCCTGCTCATTCCAATCTCTCCTTCCTCAATGGCACCTTCCGTCCCCTCCGGCCTGGGGAAACAAGGACATTCGGCTGCTTGTCACCCTCCTTGTCCAGATTTTAGCTCTGGACTTGGAGGACTTGTTACCACAGGCTGCTAACGAGGGCAGGGGTGGAACGAGGTCTGGATTAGGTAACCCCCGCAGTCCTAGGGATTCTGGGAGAGCTCAGAGGCAGAGAGCTTCAGGGCATCCCAAAATATCCTCCAGGACGAGGAGGAAACCTCAAGGATCCTTCGCTGTCCAATTTCACCCACCATCTGGGGAAAAAAAGCTCCCAGAATGGCTGCACTGCTGATTTGACCCATTCCAAAACCCCCATTCCCATTTTTCTCAGGCTGCTGGTCTGCTCCCGGGAGCCTCCCATATGGAAAAGCTGGCATGCAGCATGAGTGCTTTAGTTTAAATTCTTTTCTTTGGCTTTTATAAGGAGGGCAACCACCCTGACATCCCAGGCAGGTATTCTTATTCCTGCGGCATGCAAAAAGAGCACAAACAACGTCCAGGGGAGGCTGGAGGGGACGCACAGCGGCAGGGCCGGGTGGGAAAACGCGGCGCGGCGGAAGCTCGCGGGAACCGAGATGGTAAATTCTAGAGCAGGGACGGGTGAGGCGCCGTGATGTATTATTTATAGGGCGGATCTGCTCTCTTGGAAGTCGTCATCGCTCCAGGCGCCTTTGCTGCATCTATCCCTTGATATATATATATTTTTTTATTGTGGATGAGATCCCGCCTTTATGAAAAGCAAAAATGGAAGAAAAACAGACAAAAGACCCACTTTCCGGAATGGCCGGGCTTCAATAGGTGTCTTGCCGCCTGACCATCTTAACCCTTGGGATTTGCCGAGATAAATCATCCCTTTTCCTCCTGCATTCCCAGGCCCTTTTGGCAGCTCTCAGGTGACAAGCTCCTTCCTAACGCTAAACCGATGCTTCTGCCTTGCTCTTTTATACGCAGCTTTTCAATATATCTCCCCCCACAGCTTCACCTCTCGGTGCGATATGGAGGCATCGGGTTTTTCCCGCTGTGATTGCAGCTATTTTAATTGAAGAGACACTTTCCCTGCCTTGCCAGAATATGCCGGCACTTGGGGTTGCTATTAATAGCCTATTGCCGGAGCTTAGCGACTCCATTTTCTGATGCTGGGGAAGGGTTTTCTTCCATTAGGTGGCATTCGCAGGAAATGGAGGCCTGCGGGAACCCGAAAAAAGCCAGCAAAAAACAGGGTCTGATTTTCCTTTTTTTTTTTTTTTTTGACAGAAGAGATAAAGGAAAAGGATTTATTTCTTTTGACTTGAGAGCAGAGGTAATAGTATCTCAGGAAGAAAAGGGTTTTTTTTGTTTGTTTTCTATTGCTTTTTTAATCCTTATTTGTGGGCTACAGCTAGGGACTGTTCCTCCGGTGGCGTTCGGACAAGGGAAAGCCGGCCGTTCCCGGCCCCGAACAGTGCCACTATTGTGCAAAGCCAGATAATACCATGTTTTTTCAACAACAGCTCTGGGTAACTGAATATACCCGGTGAAAGGAGGGACACAGTTTGCTAAATAAAGGATCTCCCTTGTCCCCGTGTTATTCCCAGCACCGAGGCCCGGATGGATTTACGCGTGCCGGCCGCTTTCCCGCACGCTTGATCCTATTCCGTGCCTCGGTTTCCCTGCCCGCAGCCCAAGGATGGGCTGATTTTTGCATGGCACAAAATGATTTTTGCACCCTGTCCCATGGTGATGCAGGGATGTGAGGGGGCTTCGGAGTAGGGATTTACCTCTGTAATTCCCCATCTCCCTTTTCCAATGCAGGAAGCGGGAGAAGCACCTCCCTCCCATTCCCCCATCCTGGCTTTTCCATGGAGCAGGGGGAGGCCCTGGGGGATTTGCAGCAAGCTGCAAAGTCATCGCCACACTCCAGCCCTTACGTAAATGACCCGGCACCGTTAATCGCTTGCGCAGCCTTGGGGACACAGGGCTTGTCCAGGGGCATCCCGGGAATCTGAGGGGGGAAGCAGGCGCATCCCGGCTGGCCGCAGCGGGGCTGGACCTGGCTCATCCATGGAGCATCCGGCAGGAGCCTGGCCGGGCTGACCCTCCAAGGCTGCTGTGAACCCGCTCGCCATGCAACACGGCCAGGCCGTTAGCTGCCTGCAATTAGGCATCGCTTCCCTCTGGGTAGGAATTTGTCATTACCCGTGATGGATTTTGTGGGCGAGTCCTGGGTCCTGCAGCAGCAGCGCTGCCGCAGACAGCGGTGGGCGAGGGCAGCGAGAAGGAGCTGCAGCATCTGCTCCTTGCGCATTAGAGCCCATGAAGTCATCACCACTGACCTATTTCTGCGGCTAAATGCCGTTCTCCGTTCGGAAAACTCCATGTCGAGTCTGAGACGTGAGGCTGGGTGCAGATTAACCCCTTCCCTGGCTGCCCGGCGGGTGGTTTGGGTCTCTCCTCCTGCCTCATCCCATGCTTGGATAGGGATGGGGAGCTCAGGACTAGGCGAGAGTCAGGCTCTCCCATCAGCAGGACTTCAGTGCCACCCACCCCAAGGAGAAACTGGTTCTGGAATCACATCCTGATTACCAAGGAGCATGCTTTATCCCTGTACTGAAATACTGTGCTTAATCTCACCCAGTGTGAGTTTCTGCACCATGTTGTGTGTTAAAACCTGATTCAGAATGCGTTTTCGGCCCTTTGGCAACAACAGTTGGTCAGGCTGTAGCTGACAGTAGCTTTTCCTGAGAATTCACACACTCTGTGGCAAGCAAGTCACGTTTTTATTCTGATCATAGCACTTGGCGCACATTTCATTTGCTTTTAACCCTTTCTCCATCAGGCATGGATTCACTCACCAAAAACCACCCTTCCCTACTAGCCAGCTCTCCTATTGCTTCAGCTAATAAAATAAGTTTTCTGGTTTCATGCTTCTATTCTTTACCAGCACAATCTCCTAGCTACGAGATCCTAGGTGATGCTTCATGGAGATCTCTTGGGGCACTGAGGCTACCTCCTTGCCATGCAGCCCTGCTGAGAAATGCATATAAGAGCTTTTCTTCCAGTCTGTTCTTCACTTGTTGGAGTTTGTTGAGGACATTACTATCTCCTTTCACCTGTATTTAGTAGCGTGTAGGTCAGAGGTGACACTGAATTCAGAGGGACTGACATCTTCCATGGGACTTTCTGCTTTCATCTGTGCTGGTGGCCTGTCTAGCCCAGGGAAGGTGGGTTAGGGGCTGGGCTGGCCCTGTTGCTGATGCTCAGGTTTCTCATGAGGCTTCTGCCTTCGTATCGCCAGATGGGGAAGGGTTCCTTCAAATACGCCTGGGTGCTGGACAAGCTGAAGGCCGAGCGCGAGCGTGGCATCACCATCGACATCTCACTGTGGAAGTTTGAGACCACCAAGTACTACATCACCATCATCGACGCCCCTGGCCACCGGGACTTCATCAAGAACATGATCACCGGGACGTCCCAGGTGAGCTGCGGGGAGGCCAGCAACAGGGACTGCTTCCTGCCAAGCCCGGTGGCACTCAGATGCTGTTGAAGTCCTTCCTGGGGTGGGTAGCTTAGACATCAAACAGCCATGGAGCATCTTTGAGAGGGGTCCATGCAAGAGGCCCTGGGTCCTGGCTTGCTGCAGGTACCCAGGGCTTGCTCATGGGTACCAAGGCATCCAGGCTCTGTGCTTCTCCAGGCAGCTGGGGGCTTTCTCATGCACAAAGAGGTCATTTCTTCATCCCATTTCCCTCCACCTGGATGAGGTGGGGATGAATATCCCTGGGAAGAATGCCTTTATGTCAGGGTACCTCCCACATTGTTCCAGCATCTACCAATTCAGATCTGGAAGAAACTATATCTTAGGTTTTATTGGCCAAATGAGATTGCAAGGGTCTTCCATCAGCCAACACTGGCACTACGATGTGGTTTATGGGACAAACTCTGTGGGCTACCCCTCCAGAGTAGACCTCATCATGCAACAGGACATTCCTGCATCTCTTTAGAGCTGATGGGTGTAGGATGAGCTTTGCTACAAGCTCAGAGACGGCCCATTGCAGCATTAGCTGAGACTGAGCATTGCCCTTTACTAACCCAGGCAACTTCTACTGTGGCCACTGAGAAGAGGAAAAATAAGTGGAGGAAAACAGTGTGCAGGGAGACTGCCTAAAAGATTCCCAAGACTTCCCTGGGGTTTTAGACAAGGCCCTTGCTGGGCCTTCATGAGGGGTCTGTATGAGGTCCTGCTTGGACTGGCCCAACCTGGAGGAACCCGCTCTGCTTTCCAGCCCATGTTGCAGAGCCCTGCTTGGCTGCCATGGCTGCAATAGCAGAGCTAGCTCAGGTAGGGTTTGACATGTATTATTCAAAGCTCTTGGGATGCCAACAGGAGCAGACATCAAGGACTGGGAGCAATTCATTAGTTTTCTTCTTCCCCCAGGCTGACTGTGCGGTCCTCATCGTGGCTGCTGGCGTAGGTGAATTTGAAGCCGGCATCTCCAAGAACGGGCAGACCCGTGAGCATGCCCTGCTGGCCTACACCCTGGGGGTGAAGCAGCTCATCGTGGGCATCAACAAGATGGATTCCACCGAGCCTGCCTACAGCGAGAAGCGCTACGACGAGATCGTCAAGGAGGTCAGCGCCTACATCAAGAAGATCGGCTACAACCCGGCCACAGTGCCCTTCGTGCCCATCTCGGGCTGGCACGGAGACAACATGCTGGAGCCCTCTCCCAATGTAAGTGTGCGCTAGATTTTTTTAATTCTCCTCGTTCCAGCTATCTCGATCCAGGCGGAAGCTGCCTTTGGTGCCATGGAAATTGCAGGCGCATTTTGCGTGCCCGTGGTGCGTAACGGCCCGTGCTGCCAGCACGGATGTGCTGGTCACGTAGCTCTGCTCCAGGATGAATGGGCGCTCTGTTTGTGGCCCCGATTGCTGCTGTGCCGTGGCCAGGCACCGCAGAACCAAAGCACGGGCATCTTCAGGGGATGATCCCTACGGTGTTGCTTCGGGGATGAAGGTTTTGCACCTTCAGACCCCTCGTGATGTCCTCCCCACTGCTTGCCATGCTCAGCAGTAACGAGATGCACAGTTTAATGTGTTGATTAGTGCAATTTGGATGCATCAGGTGCGTTTTCCCATGGGTGCCCATCTGCGCCAACATCCCCAGGGCCACTGCGGCATCGTCCTAATCACCATGCCCTTCGCTCTGGGACATACCATGTTTCTCAAAGCTAGTTAGGAAATCATAGCTTGAGCATCCTTTTTGGGTTGCTCCTTGTCGTTTTGGTTGGGAAATGCCCACAGTGCATCATGACGAGGGCTACAGGGTACAAAAGCGGGAGGTTCAGGGTAGGAAGTGGCCCCTACTTTGCTTGGCAGCAGGGAGAAAGAAGAACCTGAGGCGGGATGGGGTCTTCTTGGCAGATGGGGGCTTCTTGGCAGACAGGCTGTGAATAATACCATTTTTTGGAGCAGAAGGGCCTAGCCTGCTGTTGGGACGGCAGCTACAATGAGACCTGGGGCTGGTTTGGAAAGGGGAATTTTTGGCATTGGGGAGATTCCTGTCCCCTCCAGAGCGGAGCTGGGACAAAGGTCAGTCCTGGCCATGCCAAGCCAAGCAGCGCAGCTTCTGGGTGCCTGCAGATGAGCCAGGCTTCAAATGTCAGCAGCTGCTGGGCTGGGAAGATGATCCTGGGCAATTCTGCTATTAATAGGCTGGGTGCTGGAGGCGGCGAGCAGGATGGGTCTGGCTGGCCCCATCCGCCCCGATGCACCTCGGAGCATGTGCCCAGCGTGACCCGCTGCCCGCGTGAAGCCAGGGCCTGAAATAGCATCGCTGAGCAGCAATGGGGCTGCCTCTGGGGTGGCTCCCAGGAGCCGCGAAAGCAGTGGCTGAGGGTGGGATGTGGGGAGAAAAAAGGCCTTGGAGGGCTGGGAAGGGGCTTGCAGGTTTTAGGGTGCAGAGACCTTCCCGTGCTGGGCAAGATCCCTAGGGAGAAGATGCCACCTCCAGCCTCAGCTGGGACCCCAGCCAGGTGGGGACATGGGGACAGCTCCCTATGGGGAAGGCTCATGCAGGAATCTGATGCAGAGCTCCCTCCTCTCATTCCTGGCCTAAAGAACACTGGTTTTTTTAGTTTTTTTTTTTTCCTTGCATTTTCTGGCCAGATTTCATCCAAGCACAAGGCAGTCAAGTGACTTGTCTGCCTGTCAAGGGACTTATCAGCAAGTCCTGGGGCTCCATCAGGATTATGAGCTGTGACGTTGCTGCCACGTGTCGTGGCTCCTCTCCCCTCCATGCTCGCATGGATATGGATCCCGCATGGAATGCAGCACATCGTTTCGGGAGGAGGAGGGCAGAGGGTCCAAAATACAACGCATAGGGCTGGATGGGCTGGATGCTTCCAGCCACGTCCAGCAAGTCCCTGAGAAACCAAGGTCTCTGGTGTCATAGGATTTGCAGTGCCAAGTGGGCGCCAATCTCTGCTCCAGGGGTTTTCCACCTTGGTGGGCAGTCCAGTCTTTACTGGAGGGAAACTGAGGCACGGAGTGATTAGTCCCTGCTTGCATAGGAAGCATGTGTGTGCACGTGCGGCTGATAACTTGCTCACGGGATGCTCAGGCTGAATAGAAACGCAGAAAAATTGCCTGTAAATCAGGCATTGCTCTTTGGGGAGCAAACACGGGGAGTAAATAGCAGAGGTTTTACTTGGGCGCCTCTTTCTACAGATTCAGCCTCAGGCCGTGACGTTTTGCAGCGCGGATTTGCTCCCTGTTCCCATATTTGTGCCTCGGGATGCCAGGCAGATGATGCAGTTCCCAGTTTAATGGGCAGCACCGACGGGACGGGGATGGTGCGGAAAGGCCGGCATCCGGGTGCGGAGCGGTGCCGGGAAGGCGCTGCCGGCCGAGGGGACATTGGGCCGGGGAGCCCGCAGTGCCCTCGAAAGCAGAGCGGGGACACGGGTGACAGCTGCGGCCGCGGGTGGCATTTGGGCAGCAGATTGCGAGGGAAGGTCTGAGTCATCCCACGCATCACATGCGGCTCCAGCACTGCCTTGCCAGGGCTATAATTTCATCTGGCTTCATCAAGGCGGAAGAGCTGACGCGTGGAGCAAGGCCCAGGCTCCGTTTGCTCTATGGGACGATGGGGATCTCCCGTACCCCCAGCCTCAGGGCTTTCCTGCTCTCAGGAGTGGGGTGGCATGGGGACCCCGTGTGCTCCTGCACCCGCGGGCACCGCTGCAAGGAGCCTGTGAGCTCCGGGTGCTCGAGACGCGCAGCAGCATCCAAAGAGGGGACTGAGCTTCCCTGCTGTGAATTGTGTCCTCTGCTGGGCAGCCTTCCCTATCCTCCTTTTCTAAATTTTCTTTCCATGCCCTGTTTGAGCCTCCAGGGTCAAGCTAGGGCAGAGATGGGGAAGTGGAAAGCACAGTTGCAAAACGCTACTGCGGCTCCAAATCCCAATTTTCCAGCACTCAAGCCAGGGAAACAAAAGCCCGGAGGGTTGTGATGGGGAGCAGCTTGCTTCTGAGCAACCACTTTGCCAGGGCGAAGGCTCCGATTCGGAGACAGGTCTTGGCTGGAAGCCCTGCCAGAGGCAGCTGTGCCAGGAGGCAGGATCGGAGTCGCTGGCGTGGTGGCAGTGCTGGGATGTGCAGCAGGAGCGGTGGGGTTTCTGCAAAGGTGCTGGGCATTGCTAGGAGCAGGGGACACAGGAGATGCGGGGGAGAGGCCACTGCTGCCCCCGCGGGGACATTTAACTGCTTTCTTCCTTTGCTGTCTGTTGGGAGCAATGCAGGGATGTAACTGCTGCCTCCTTTTCCTTCTCCTGCCAAAGGATGCCTTGCACATTCCTTGGAGAAAGTCAGGGGGAGGTAGAGCAAGTGAGTAGAGAGGAGCCTGCAGGGACCATGATGGGGAGAGCTCCTCAGCCCCCAGTTAAACCAAGGATGGGGCTGGACTGGGTGAACGGAGCAGAAGCCGATGGAAGCCATGGAAATAGCCCCAGGAGTGGTCCAGGAGCATCCTTGGATGGGCCAGGGTGGCTCTCACGTAGCCCCAGGCTGTTCTCCCTCCACGTTGGTGACATTGGGAGGGTCGGGCTAGAAGGGGCATGCACGGCTCATCTCCCCCTTTCGTGGCTTTGTCCTCCAGATGCCTTGGTTCAAAGGGTGGAAGGTGGAGCGTAAGGAAGGCAACGCCAGCGGCGTGTCCCTCCTGGAGGCCCTGGACACCATCCTGCCACCCACCCGCCCCACAGACAAACCTCTGCGCCTGCCCCTCCAGGACGTCTACAAGATTGGAGGTGAGCAAAAGCCCTCATGGCTTCTCTCCCGCTCCACCTTAACCAGGGACTTTGTTCCACAGGGATTTGGGAAAAGGTGTTTCCACCTATGAGGACTGGTGAAATGAAGGATTGGTTTAATCCGACTGGAGGGAGATTGGGGTAGAGGGAGATTAGCTGCAGGGCAGAGACCCCCTTTGGCCCCCTTGGGTTATCCTGGCTTGGAGAGGAATATGCCAGAGCAGCAAGGACTCCCTAGGGACCCTGCAATGCCACTGGCCAGCTGCAAATTTGGGTATCCCTGAGACTGAGTCTGCAGAGACAAAGTGGGGACCTGCTGGGAATAAGCTCCAGTGGCAAAAGTGTGCTGTGGGCAAGGCCAGCTTGGAGGCCACCAGAGCAGCACTCGGGAACAATGCCCTGGGTGAGCTGGGCTGGGATGAGATGGATCTGCGGCACAAGCGCTCATGGTCTGCAATGCCAGCGGCTGTGCCCGCCCCATGCCCTCCACATGCTGGTGTCAGTCACCAGCACCTCCACCCGCTGAGCTGTCCCTTGGTGCTAGCCATGTATGGGACCATCTCCTCTTCCCTGCTCAGGTGGCAGCCGGGATGGTTTCTGGAGCTATAAATACTCAACATGAGCACCGCCGCGCTCCCAGCTCCGTGCTGCCCATCCGCAGGAGCCAGCAGGCCCTTCCCAGCCCTCTGCTCCCCTTCCCAAGGACACGTATCCTGCGGGAAGCAGACAGGCAGTCAATGCCCCTCTCTTGCTGTCCCAACAAGCGATGTGACAGCATTTGTAGAGATAGATGAGGTGGATCCATGGGGAGCAGCTCTGTGCCAACCCCTCTAGGAAGAGGAAAGAGAAGAGGGAGGTCATCATGCCATGAGACTAGCAGGTCCTTAGAGAGAAGAGACCCCAAGGTAGGAGGTAGCAGAGGTGCAGCCAAGCTCCCTGGCCTCTTCTCATGGTTCTTTCTCTTGATGCTTCTTAACCAACTCCTGGTCTTCCTCAAAGTCTCCAAAGACCCTTGTTTAAAAGGTCCCTTTCATTCACCCTAGTGACAGCATGGGTTGCTTGCTCTTTGATGAAAACCATTGGACTTTCCTAGCCTCTGCATCCATCCAGACTGTGGCCGTGCTCCCCAGCAATACACCGGGCCGTTACAGTTTGCTCTGCTCTCTCCCTGCCTCCCCGCAGGCATTGGCACCGTCCCTGTGGGCCGGGTGGAGACTGGCATCCTGCGGCCCGGCATGGTGGTCACCTTCGCGCCTGTGAACATCACCACTGAGGTGAAGTCCGTCGAGATGCACCACGAGGCCCTGAGCGAGGCCCTGCCTGGCGACAACGTTGGCTTCAACGTGAAGAACGTCTCGGTGAAAGACATCCGCCGCGGCAACGTCTGCGGCGACAGCAAGTCGGACCCGCCGCAGGAGGCGGCACAGTTCACGTCCCAGGTGGGCGGAGTGGCCATGACGGTGGTTTTAGGGGTTGCGTGGGCTGCCGGATCTTCCTGTTGGGTCTTTCAGCAACGCACATCATGGAAGGGGCATGTCCTGGGTGTTTTAGGTTTTCCTGGCAGCTTTCCCAGGGTTTTAAGCAAGCCACAAGCTTGCAACCTACCGTACGTGTGCAACTTGCTTCCTGCCAAAATGCAGCCACCTCTGGCACAGAGCAGGACCGAGTAATCTACATGAACCTGTGAAGGACATGACCCCATGTCCTTCCGCTCTTGGAATAAATAAGTAATAGCTTAAATAAAGCTTTAAATGGAAGGGAAGCTTCTGCCGTGGCAGTCAGGTTGCCAGCTCTTCCATGCCGCTTCCACAAGAGGTCATCAATGATCACCGTGGTGGTGGGGGGCCTGGGACGAGTCCCTCAGGATGGTTGCCCCGTGCATGGTCCCAGTGGCCCATGTCCTGCTCTCATGCCGTGCTCTCCTCCAGGTCATCATCCTGAACCACCCCGGCCAGATCAGCGCCGGCTACTCGCCCGTCATCGACTGCCACACCGCACACATCGCCTGCAAGTTCGCTGAGCTGAAGGAGAAGATCGACCGGCGCTCCGGCAAGAAGCTGGAGGACAACCCCAAGTCCCTGAAGTCGGGTGACGCAGCCATCGTGGAGATGATCCCTGGCAAGCCGATGTGTGTGGAGAGCTTCTCCCAATACCCTCCCCTTGGTAAGCTCCTTGCTTGGGAATCCACTGCAGGGTCGCTGCGAACATCTCCCAGACCATCCCAATGGGTCAGCTGGGAAGTCCAGTGCATTCCCACACTTTGTGGCTGCTCCATGGCCCCAAAGCCTGCTGCATTAACCATGCTAGGCCCCCGAGCAGCAGGCAGCCTTGCTCTTGAGCTGAGTAGCTATTTCCAAAGGCAGGGCTGGATTTTCCCCTGGGAATAGCAGCAGTTGCCTGCAGGGCCTCTCCTTCAAGGTTACTAAGCTTCACAGTTGCTGCATGGTGATGTTTCCCCTGCAGACTTCCACCTTCCCTGCCTCTGTTCTAAAACAAAATTGATTAAAAAAAAGAAACAACAGGGAAATCTGCTCAAGAGAGGGCATCTTTTGATGCAAATAACCCCAATCCTTCCTTTGGATGATGCTGCCCACCTGGAATTTCATTCATTTAAACAGAGAGAAACATCAGGGCTAGCGTGATGGTTAGAACAAGCATTGGTGGCTCCTAAAGCGGCAT